AAAATTCATCAAATAACGGACCAACATGTGTACAAAAAAATTTTAGAATGCCATATAGTCCCCCATGGCGGATGAGAAAATGTCACTCCGATGGGTATATCAGTACGATAGCGACCCAAAACACACCTTTAAGCTGATAAAAGAATGGATTCTGAAAAATGGAATTCCAATTTTAGATTAGCCGGCTCAATTGTCTGATTTGAATTCAATTGAGAACATTTTGGTATTCTCAAACGTCGCTTTGGGGATCGAAAAGTTCCCAAATGTTTAAGGTGATAAAAGATGAATGGTATAAAATTCAAAATTGTTTTATTAACAATTTAATATCACCTATGGGCCGTAGATGTTCCCAAGTAATAAAAAGCAAAGGGCTTTATACAAAATTTAAAAAAATAATACAAAAATTTAATATAGCAGAAACGTAAATATAACGTTACTATTGTTTTGTTTCATTATTTTTTTTTGAATTATTTAACCTGTTATGAAGAGTTGTAGATTTTGTTGTTTTTTTATAATAGCTAATAGGATTACAAATAAAACTCTGTATTTAAGTTTTTGAATGAAAAGTAAAAAGTAGATAAAAAATTAATTTATTTGATATGCTCATTTTGGTTGCTTTTGTTATGCACAACACAATATATATATATATATATATATATATATATATTGAATTTTCAAAAAATTGTATTTGCTTTGAGTAAATACCATGGATTTGAGTATTATGAGAATTATTATAATTTAATAAATATATCATAAATGTTGTGTACGAGCACTATTATTATTCTTTCTAAGAAATCATAATGTCGAATACTGATACCCTCCACTATGATAGAACAAATTAGACAAAATACTTTTAATTTCATTAATTTGTTCCTAGAATAGGAGGATCAATCGGAAAATCTATACACACTACAAAACTTAAATAACATAATTTCATGCAAATAAATAATAACATTTAAAAAATTTTAAACAAAAATAGAAAATAATTTGCAAAATTATTGGCGGCACGTGGACATTTTTCACAATTATAATTTTGAATGTTTAAGTTGAAATGTACTTTTTTATTTACTTAATAAAAAGGGAATATACTTTTTATATGAGCAATTATTTTAAAATGAATATAAATTTTACATAGGAATAATTATTAGACATAAAGTAATGAATTTTTATTTTTTAATTTTAACATATATTACAAAAAACTTTTCAATAAAGTTAGTGCTTTAACCCTGATCTAAGTTTAAGCAAAAAGTTAGTCAATAATACATAAATATGAGATAAGCAAATGAATTTAGATACATTTGACAAATGTTGAGAGCATAACATACAAACTAAATGATGCTATAAAATTGTTTGAATACAAATAACTCACCTCACTGGAGGAGGCGAGTATCTGCCATCAACTTCATCACTTTCTGCTTCCTTTTGCTCACCATGTATGACAGCAATACCTAAACGTAATCGCTCAGCATAAGATGTTGCTTTTTTTGCAGAGCCTGGATCGCGGGCCACTATCACCGAATTTCGATAATCGGGTATCTATAAACAATAAATTTAATTGTGTTCATATGTTTTAGTATGATTTTTGGTACATACACTTTCTTGTATATATTGTAGAAGAAATGGTGAAGCTCTAAGATTATCAACTGGTATGTCAAAAAAGCCTTGTATTTCTTTTTGATGCAAGTCCATTGTAATTATATGGGTTAGGCCAGAGGTGCACATCATCTGTGAATATACAACACGTGTCTAGACTAAAATGTCGGGAAAACATCACGTAAATCACATTACCTTTGCCAGCAACTTGGTTACAATACAGCCACGTTTTCGCATCTTGCATTGCTTAGAATACGGTAAATAAGGAATCACACCAACAATTGATCGCGCAGATGAGGTTTTACAGGCGTAGGCCATTATTAGTAGTTCCATAATATTATTATTCGCATCTCTGCATTATAAAGACTGCTATTATATTCTTTTCTTACGAAATGAAATTTATATATACATGTACCTTGTGCTCAAAAGAGAACGAGAATTTTCATTTTCGTTCTTTTTCCCACGCTTATCCAATCGGTAAATTTTTTTTATTTTCACGCTGGCAACACTATTATACACATTCAGTCAAAGTTTAACGCATATCGTACAATTAGTTTTTTTTGGCGTCTATACAAAGAAGTCGAAAAATTTTCGTGTGGCGATTTTTTATAATGGAAAATTAGCACCATTCGGTCGATTGTTGTTTGCTAGGCATGTCAAATTCATAGACCCATGTTTTATCATCAGTTATGATGCGTTCGATGAATGCGGGGTCGCTATCTGCGTTGGAAATCATCTCTTTGGCTACATCACAACGATGCTTTTTTGAATGAAATTCAGCTTTTTTGGCACCAGCCGAGAAGTGACGCGTTTCAAACCCAAAACATCAGTTAAAATGTGTTCGGCCGATCCATATGAGATGCCCAACAACACTGCAATCTCTCTAATCGGTTCACAACGATTTTCTAACACGATTTGCTTTGCCGTTTCAATGTTTTCTTCAGTAACAGATGTTGTTGGTCGGCCAGGGATCTTATCATGGTCCAAGCTGGTACGACCGTCTTTGAACGTTTTAAACCATTCGTATACTCGTGGTTGCGACACACACAAATCACCAAAGGCCTTTTTTAACATTTTCAACGTTTCGGCACACTTGAATCCATTTGCAACACAAAATTTGATCCACGCACGGTGTTCTAATTTTTGATCCATTATAAAAATCGTCACACGAAAATTTTTCGACTTCTTTGTGTAGACGACAAAAAAAACCAAATCTTACGATATGCGTTAAACTTTGACAGAATTTGTATAATAATGTTGTGCCAGCAAGAAAATAAAATAAGCGCGGGAATTTAAAAAATTAAAATTCTCGTTCTTTTTTGATCACTAGGTATATATAGCTTACTTTGTGCCCGTTTGAACAATATAAATATCTTTGCCGCGTACAGAATCTCCAATTTCTACCATCGTCTCTCTATTTGTTTTATGAAAAACAGAACAACCTCCGTTTTTGATTCCCATTCGCTCTGCCACCAGATTTGCTAAGTCTGGATGCGAATTCCCATGTATGATAACAATGTCTGAAGCTGATGTAGTATCCATATCACTTCTGCAACGTTTTGGAGGCCGAACGCTACCTAATCTATAGAAAGAAGAAAACCAATTAAGATTAAAAAAATATAATGTAATGTTGAAAATAGACTAAATTACTATTATTAATAAATTCAAAGCAAACAACAAACTATAAATAAAGCAATTGCAAAAAAAATAAATTATATTAAAATTGGTGGAATTTGAATTAAAATTATATAAATAAGAAATGGTTTTAATTATTAATTGTATTATATTTTGAACATATTAGTAAACTACGTATGCATGGATGCTACCTTTCGGTACCTTCTTTTCATTGTTGAGTTTGTCTCTAACATTATAGTATAGTAAAGGATATTCTATAAATTTTTTTTTTAGAGTAATATACACTAGCATTTCACAGGCGCAATATGTTCCGTATTGATAGTTACCGGATACATTTATTGATTACACAACAATACCAAATAATGCGAAATAACCTAGTAAACTATATTCGAAAGTAAGGCACGTTTCAACAAAACTCGGTTTTTAAATGACAAAAAGGGCAGCCACGGTACTGCTTGCATGGGACAAAGAAGGACACGACAAGTTTCAAATACTTTATTTCTGCGCGTTTTAAACGTGATAGTAACAGCAACTTATATGAATATCCATAACCCATTTAATGCGACACACAGTTCACAGTGTAAACTGCTACAGGAATTGTAAATCTATGCAAGCCAAGTAAAAAGTTGTTCAAGTTTTGCGAATATTTGAAAAGGAAAAAATATCCGCATCGAATTATCGATCAAACAGATAGCTTTATTTGGAACGGTATTGTATTTAAATGAAATTTACATGTCAACAGTTTCTGCTCTGTTGCAATGCAGGAAATCACAATTACAAGAATTGAAATCGGGCATACTTAACATCCCACTTTTGGAAAACTTCAAAAAGGCGTGCGTAATGAGTTTTGTAGTTGTAATAAAGCAAATAGTTGATTTCATCCGTTGAAATTTATAACGTGGCTTATAGAAAGAACCTTGCTCAGCTATATAATGATCTAAGTAGTGGCGTGTATTTTTTATTGAGTGAGAAAAATAAGTTTAAATTATTATATGGAAAGTAAGTAGTGGCGTGTGTTCTTTATTGAGTGAGAAAAATAAGTTTAAATTATTATATGGAAACTCAAATGCAAAAATACAACAATAAATTAAAGAGAATTTCGTGCTCATACAAGTGACTAGCGTTATGAAATTAATTTTTTATTTCGTTTAAGAAATCAACCAACGTAAGTGCCAAATTGGAAAAAATTGGAGTTCCATTAATGTCAGACGCCAGAACTTAGAACGAGCCACATCCACTGATACGTGGGACACATGAGTTTATATGTGAAGTTCGGTTTTGATTGATTTTTTATTGATACATTTTAAAATGTTTTGAAGCTTAAGGTGAAATGGGTGATTCAGGTGAGTCATTTTAAATATTCATAGTTGCGCTAGGCACTTCAAAACAGAATAAATGTTAACAAATTTTATCGAAATGTTATAATGATTTCCTTGAGCAACATAATCAAATGTTCAAACTTAGTATAAAACACCAGTGTTATACCAGGCTTGAGGCGTTCATAGTTTTTGCTTTATTCTAAAAGTTCTATTAAATTAAGATGAAAAGGTGTTGTTAAAATGGAGGTCGGAACAAATATTAGACAAACAAACATTTGTGTGATTACAGTGTTAGAATTAAACATATTTGGTCGGCAGTTTAAAGATATTGATGGAAATGCACGCAACTGATTAATAGAAAATAGTGATGTCGCATGCGAGCAGCTTAGAATTTATGACGTGAACTTTAAGTGAAATCGCAAAATATCCTTATCCAACTGCAAATACCCTTCACAACAGTTTAAGAAGAGTATATTAAGTTTGTCGTTAGATGTCTGAAACATAAAAACTTTGACAGTATGTTTAGATATATCACTGTCTTTTCGATTATCATTTTTAGATATACCAATGACAGATCAACTTTGTCAAATATTATTACAAAATATCATAAATAATCTGCAATGTTTCTATAAAATTGTTACAAAAAACATACGAATTACATACGATTTAATTATCTGATCAATTGTCCGATATCGGTGCATTGGTTTATCTTATAACGGTCACATAAGATAATGATCTTCATTAACATTTTCTTCAAAATATGTTTTTGATTAATTTATTTCAAAATAACATAAATTACTAATGTATAATCAAAATTAAGCGTTTGGTTAAAATATAAAAAACATATGGAGTTCTTATAACGATACCTTTGTATTTTCAATATATGTACATTTGTCCAAATTTTAAATAATTGTAATTAAAAAAAAATGAATCCAATCTAAAAACTTCAAATACAAGTTGGTAAAGGAAAACTGTTTTTTTTTTGTTAATAATTAAATTTTGTAGTTATTTCACAACAGTTTCGTATGAAAGGCATTTTGGGTTCGGCTAGCCAAAGCAAACTCATATTTTTGCTTTTCTTCTTTTCTTTAACCCTTAACCCTTAGCCCTAAAACACTAAAATTATAATTGCAATAGCTTATATGAAATGTTGACGAGAAAACTCACAACACGCATCTAAAATGTAAAAGTGGTAAAGTACGTAAAGTACGAATAACTGACACAGTCTTGAACACGTCAAGTACCTTCCTGACAATGTCGCGATTTAGGAAATATTTCACAATCAGATTGTGTGACGTTGGCTTGCTTTTAAGCAGTATGGCTTGGTTGGAAGGTTAAATGATGGATTATTTAATGGTAAGCAGGTTTGAGATATGAGTGCTTTGAAACTAACACTTTAGTAATTGAAAGAATTTAATTAAAAATAGATTGGCTTGAGGTGTAATGGTGCTATTCAATTTTCTATCTTCATAGTAAGTAGTCAACGAAGGTATTTGAAAAAGAACGAATATTAAATGAACTCTTGCAGTCAACTGCAAAGGTTGACTATCTTTTTCGAAAGAGCAAGTTTAGACACATGATTGGAATAGCTTGTGATCCTCTGCGTCACACTAGCATGTATGAACGCATGCAGGAGGGTATAATGCTTTGTCATTATTTAATTAAAGATATAGCATATAATTTAACATAAAGTGAATATTAAAATATATTATATTTGCAGAAAGTGAAGATAGTGATGGTGAAGGTGGTCTTGGCAATGTATCCCGAGTGATTATACGGCCTCCTGGGCAGAGCGGAAAAGCAAAACGTGGTCATCTTTGTTTTGATGCTGCATTTGAAACAGGCAATTTAGGCAAGGCTGATCTCGTTGGTGATTTTGAATACGATTTATATTTGCGGCCCGATACATGTAATCCTAGATATCGATTTTGGTTTAATTTTACTGTGGATAATGTTAAAGTCGATCAACGCGTTATTTTTAATGTAGTAAATATGAGTAAGCCAAGGAATTTATTTAATTCTAATCTCACGCCCTTGGTTAAATCATCAAGCCGTCCAAAATGGCAACGATTGCCAAAAAAAAATGTTTTTTATTATCGATCAATTTTGCATCAAAATCAATATGTGCTAAGTTTTGCATTCTCCTTCGATAAGGAAGATGATGTCTACCAGTTCGCTGCGGCTTTACCATACAGTTATTCTCGACTGCAGTCCTATTTAAATGTTTTAGATGCGAAGCAAACGGAATTGCGTTTTAAACGTAGTGTAATGGCTAAAACTCTGGTATTTAAAGTTAGAGAAGTGCGTTTTAGATACGACTAATAAATTCTATATTATGTCTTTAGCAAAATCGTAACTTAGACCTCATAACGATTGATCATGTCACTGGAAAAATGAAAACAAACCGAATAGAAAAATCCTTTATACGTGTTATAGTTGTAATATGTCGCTTACATGGCGCAGAAGCTCCTGCTTCATTTGTGTGCCAAGGATTTCTTGAATTTCTTGTAGGCAACCACCCAATTGCTAATGTACTACGGGAAAATTTTGTATTCAAAATATTACCGATGGTTAATCCGGATGGGGTATTTCTTGGGAATAATCGATGTAATTTAATAGGCCAGGACTTAAACCGTGTCTGGCACATAGCAACCGAATATTCACATCCAACTGTTTTTGCTATAAGGAATATGTTAAAAGAATTAGATAACTCCGATGTAAGTCAAAGAGTAATATTTGTAATTATTTAATTCAGGAATGATTTAATTTTTTTAGTCTTATCAAATCGATTTTGTATTCGATATACATGCACATACCAGTATGCATGGCAGTTTTATATATGGTAATACATACGAGGATGTTTACCGTTATGAACGTCATTTGGTCTTTCCACGTCTTTTTGCTGCCAATGCTGCCGACTATGTTCAAAGCAATATGATGTTTAATGCGGATGAACGAAAGATCGGTTGTGTGCGCCGCTTTTGTTGCGAACGTTTGAGCGATACAATTAATTCATACACATTGGAAATTTCTGTAGGTGGCCATTATCTCAGGGATGGAAAAACCATTGCTTTATACACAGAAGATGGCTGTAAGTATGCAGCTTTATTTAAAATTTTACTTATAACATTTTATTCATTGTTAAGACTACCGTTGTGGACGGACATTGGTACGCACACTACTGCAGTATTATCGTTTTATTAACGTTTTAGCAGTTCCAGTGCCTCCAGACATACGCCAAAAGCACAAAAATCGACCACGCACTCATCAATCACGATCCCGTTCGAAAACACGTTATGAAGTTAAGCCTAGGCCGCAAACAACGCGGTATTATGCACCCATTTCTTATATGAATATATCAATAAACTATGACTCTTGCGGCTCATCTGACGAAGGTGGATTCTCTCCTTTACGGCCCAAAGGTCCTGGGTGTAGTCATTTCAGTGGCTACCGTAGTATTGGTCGTCACGATCCTGAACAGTTTACTTTACCAATTATCAACACGAAAAGATATGATACTTTAAACCAGCCTCATGAAGGATTTTATAAAGGAAGTAGGTCTATTGCAGAAAAAACTATTAAGCTTCCTACACATATATATGAACCGTCAGTTAATATGCCGCCAAAGCCGTATTTGTCGATTATTGATTTGAATCAATTAACACGTGGTAGTCTGAATGTAAAATCAAATATTTTAGGTAATTCATAGAACTATGAAATGGAAAGAATAGAAGTTAGACTAGTTAGACAATTTGAAATTTACACGTTTAATATTTTCCTCTTGTTATAAAGTGTATTTTAAAAGAATATTTTTTATAGATTCAAAAGTTCACCATAAAATTCTTGTAGTTTTAAATATTTATATAATATATCTAAATGTAATTATGTTTTGATCGAATGCGTCAATTTATTTAATGTCAAGCATGAGCTATATAATAAGTACATAAATCAGAAAAACTAATTAAATCATACTTGTGCAGAAAACGAATAAACAAAGACATTAAACAACACATAAAACTAATCATCTTGAATGCAAATTCTATCCTGTCTAAAAGAAGAGAATTTCAACAACTTATAGTAGTATAGTAGTAGTGGTAGATAGTAGTAGACTACAATTCAGCCATAATTCTTGTACAAGAAATGTTTTCCAAACCAACAATTAAAAGTTTAATGTCCGACCTACGAAGTTCCATCATTTAACTAATATCAAGCTATAACCAACCGAATCAACTACCCTATTACATTAAAGTAAACACAACGAGAATGGAGTAAAAGTTGCACCCCCTTCCCCAAGTACTTTCACTGGTCCGCAATCAGACATTGAATATGATTCAGATGCTGCTTCCAATCTAGGAAATGAAGCAATAGATCGTGTGTCAATGGAGGTTAAAGATGTACCATCGTCTTTCGACATAATCAAAATGAAAGAACAGAACAAAAGATAAAGAAAGAACAATGATTAAGTTTTTCAATTTTGGGAATTTCCTTTCTGGATCTCTATTATATGTTTAACCTATTTAATATTCCAGGTATTATTTACATTGTTTTCTAAACTGGATTATAAAATTAAAAAGTTTTTTTAAAAAAGATATTTGTAATGATCTGATCTATAAGATCAGATATATGCATAGTTTGGCACTGTGTCTTTTATCTGTGCTTTCATTCTAAAGTATCTACTGCCGACGATCTAAAATACTTATTAGACACAGTTTTAAATACTACAAAGCGTTGCATTGAGTAGGAATGAAATTATTTTTTATAAACTGGTTTTTCTAAAAAAGTTTTTCGTTGTTCTGATTCATAAAAAGGCCTGTTAACTTTGGAACGTTTCTTACGAAACGTCGCTTCATCACATGAGTATTAAAGAGCATTTATTATCATTATATAAGATGTAATTTTCCTTTTAAAGGAAAAGATATAGTTGCAAGATACAAGTTTTACTATCATTATGTTGTTTGAACTGAAACAATTCAATAGTCTATGTGAAGTTTGATTTGTTCGCTTTTTTTGTTTTGAGTAGTGTAACTTGTGATCTGGTGTAGACGCGGGTTTTCATGGTACATTTCTTCCGTGATAACTGTCTGTGTTATACTACAACAAATGATGCTGGTTTGTACAGTAAAAATGCTAAAATTAATCGTTTTTAATTTTTTAAAGTGAGTAATGTACTATTACAATAATTATTTTGAAGAGGTTTAAATCTACTGGGGACCACCCAATCTATTAGGTGAACAGAGAAATGCCTACATTACATTCTTCAACTATGTCGCATTTAGTAATTGGAAGATGGTATATCTTCTAAAATTTTATTAGTTTATATTGACTTGTAGAATGTGAAGATAGTAAATGGGGTTCGAGACTAAATTGAAACCTATTGAATTCCGAAAAATTACAATTTGGCATCCAGAGATCATGGGCTACAATAAAAATTAAAACTACTTGAAGCTTATCAGCAAAATTTCAATTTCTGGTACAAATTGAAAAATTGATTTTGCCTTGCTAGGTTTTCTGTGACAGTTGTTTCAATCAAACAACTTCTGAGCATAGTATCTTGTTTTGTGCAGTAAAACTTCATTTGATTAAAATTGATTTGTTGATTTTGGAAATACTAACGACACGTTCAGAACACATGACAACAGAACGAAAGAGGTATAGTACGGCTGTTTTTATCTTATCTCTGTAAGTGTTTTACATTGACAAGGCGAGTTCACTGTGGCTCTTTTTGAAAAAATGTACTGATAGAATAAAATTTTAGAGATCTGCTATTTTATTATTTTCTAGTTCTTCTAGTTCTTTGGAGTAGATCAAAAATCTATTAAATAAATAAACTCGTGACGACAAGAAAACAGTCTTAATCGGACGTGTTAATTTAAAAGCAAAACCTGAAGTTCAGCAATAAAATAACAAAAATGAAATAGATTTTGCTTTAATCAAAGCATTTAAATAAGTCGGAAATGATGTGTGTAACAAAGCAAGCAACAAAAACAAATAAGAAAAACAAACGCGCAACGTTTAACCAAACGAAAAACAAAAATGGAAACAAAAGCAGACAGAACGAGAACAGAAAAAGGAATTGACAAAAAGTAAAAAAGTTATTTAAGGAACCATAAAGCATAAAGCAATTTATATTTCCATTTTTGCAGCGAAAATTCGAGCATTTGTATATGCACTTTTTTGTATAGCGGAACTACGACAAAATAAATTTATAGATTTAATTAAACTTTTGTAACTAAAAACGAGGTTTTGCTTTCATTTAGAGTTAATAAGCTTAGTTAGATATTTTAAAACTACATATATTAAAAAAAAAACCTGGAGTAGACGGAGGGCACTGAAAAGGAAGAGGATAGTAATTAATGCAGGACTTAACAAAATGAATAAAAATAAAATTTATTATCTAAAAAATAAAAAAATTAATTATATACACATATATAGTCGTATATTTAAAGCTTTTAAAAAAGAAACTAAAAATTTAAAAATTAATTTTTACTCCTTGTTTACTTGTTTCGGTTGAGGAGCATAGTTTCTTGCACAAATAAAGTTCACACACTTCGCGGTTGTAAATAACAATTTGTCTTTAACACTGAAATACCATTTGCATTAAGAATGATTGTCGTCGCCAATGCAAATTAGCACTTGCGTTTCTATCGTCGTCTAGTTGGAAACTGAATGCTTGATGAAACAGGCAAAATAAACAAAATACTTATACCGCTTTTATTTGTTGTTTTAGAGCTATAAGAATATTTTCAAAATATGGGTTTACACATTTTTCACATATTCACTCTATATAATTTCTTTCAATACAGTTCAATACGAAAGAACGAATTAAGGAGAGGTAAAAGATAAAGTAAAATTAAATTATATATTCAACTTTTCCATACAATCTTAGTATCTATGTCGCACTTTTGATAATACTTGAAAATTAATATTATTTAGTCGTAAAGCATTTACTTTTTCCAGTTTACTTTTCGAACACTTTTAATTGAAAATTAAAACTTATTATAGCAGAACACATGAAATTTACAAGCAGCAGCTATACGAGTAAATTCCAAATAAAATTTGAGTACTTTCAGCGTTGCCATTTGTAAAATTATGTTGCTTGCGCAAAAAGAAGACCATCCACTTCTAACTTTGCCAACAAATTGAATATGTGTTTGATTGCATATATTTGTTCTATGTAGAGCATGGTTTGATCAAGCATTAAAACGCATGTAAATAAAATTACCCAAAGAGTTTGAACAAAAAAAAAATTACGAAAATAAAAGCATAAAATTATAGCTATGTTATTTTCACATTGAGGTTAAAAGCTTAGTATTCACACAAGTATAAGTAAATTTTTGCATTCAAAAGAGCTTTTTCAAATTTAAAAGCAACCGAAAGCTTTCGATTGTTCACATTATAATTAAAATTTTATCTAACATTATTTTTGAAAAATGAACTAATGTTAAAAAGAAACAACATTTATTTAAAACTATAACTACTGCTATATATAAGTTATTTATTATTTAGTTATTGTATTGTTGCCAAGTTTCGATCGAAATAAATGTTGCTTACTGTACTAAGATGTGAAAATGATTGATAATTATACAGCGGAAACCGACGTTTCTTTGTGTGTAGAATGTTCATGGCCGTATCTTGGTAGCAGTGACGACGCGTGCCCTATCTGGAAGGGTGTGCGGCCCTTCTTTAATGTTGTTTTTACGTGTACCAATTATATTAAAATATATGAGATCTTTTATTAATAATAACTATATTATATAAGGCAATAATATAGTCGCAATATTATATTAACAATTCATTAACATAAGAACATATTAAACAAATTAAATTAATAATTTATATATAAATTTAATATTATATCAATATGGAAGAAACAAAACTTTTCATATACTTGTAACATCAAACCAACTTTTTTCAAACAAAAGAGTTTTAACTCAGAACCATACATGTTTATCCAGTGATCAAACAAAATCAAACCCACTTGCAACGTACAAATGTGCGCACAAGTACTCCGCACAGTAAGAACAGAAATTCGTGGGTGCTACTGTTAAAAGGGGAGAGACGAAATGTGATAGAAATGTATGCTGAGATGAGCTGCAAACTTCAGCCGCTCACGCAACCACTTTGGCAAATCATCATGTTGGATTCGTATGCATGCAGTTGATATTCGAATACAGCAAAAATTTACTCTCATACAATTCCCACTATATAAATCTCTATCTCTGATATTACGAACGGGAGCACACGCACATTATTTTGTTCATATGCAACGTATGAATGTGCTGCCAACTTCTTTGCACACAAAGGGGAGAGACGAAATAAAATAGAAATGTTCTGTGATTTGAGCTGCAAATATATAGGCACACCTAACAAGTATAGCAGCAAAGAGTATATATACTCTATGATAGCAGCTAACAGAAGCAAATTGATTGAGTTTTCATAGACAATTATATTTAATTGTTTTTGCTAAAACTTTAAAAAATATATATGTATATGGAAATGTAATAATTAATAATAATTCTTGATGTGAAGATACTTAATAAATTCCTATACCTATGTTATTTGACATTTTGCAAATTATGTTAGGGTGTTCACCGCACACCTCCGCACCTTAGAGCAATCGTCACTGCTTGGTAGTGTCCCTAACTCGGTATTGGTCTGTGGCAGAACTGATGAACTTCTGCAAATTTTGGATTATATGACTACACTTCAAAGTAAATAAGTTTTCTATAACAGACTTGAACTAATCAAAACTAGTTCTTGAATCATCAACCTTTAGGCTCATCAAAGTATTCAGCTTTTACCCTTGTACTGCTTTCTATTATCACCTTGTGGCCATCCTTAATATCAAAACTAAAAGAGATGTTTTGGCTTACCACCAGATATAGTCCATTATACGGCTTCGTTACCGGTGACTGTACAAGGTGATCACTCAGGTAAATGGGTGTGCACGAGGTGCGTTTGAATAATGCTATTGAGCTATTTAGCATTAGTAGAAGTTGCCTTTGGTTTGTTGTCCTCCACCGTCTTCTTTAAATTGTTAGAAAATTCACTTTGCATGAGAGTAAAACACTCAACTGGAAACTGCAGCATCGTCTCGTACATCAGGATCACTAGCCTTGAGATATACTTTACAGATCGAGCAAAGCCCTAGTAGAACTAGCGGCAGAATTTTAGTATAATAAAGCTGTGGTGATAGTTTTATACTCCCATCAGCATACGATGGCTGTGTTCCACAATACTGTTTATCTACGGATGTTATTCTATTGTTTAGCAAAATGATCGTCCACTAACACTTGAATCAATAAATGCATTTCTTAATTTTTGCTTGATGGTAAGCTATATTAAGGCGTTGTTATAATTATAAAATTATATGTGAGATATTAGAAATTGGGCTCATTATGAATTTTGTTGTTTTGATTGTCTGACGTTGTATTTTAACAAGTGTTAATATTCTGTATTGTCATATAGCACTTTATTTCATACTATCACGTGGTTGAGTTTTGCAACTGCGTTTGTTTTTGTTGTTCTGGTGATATGTGGAGTCAAAAGTCATTTGAGTATAGCTCCTCGAGTAGAATTGCACATGAACTCTAAAGTTTGTTCAGAAAATTGTGTGGTTGTCATTATGCCAAATGCCACTCAAATGATGTTATTTTCGTAAAAATTTTATAACCAAATGAAAGTTAGAACTCCTTGACAGATATGTTATATGTTTTGAATTATTTATGGTTAAGATACACTTATTTGAGACGCTGTAGACCACATGGTGTTTTTCACATTTTTATAGGTAATATTTTCTGGATTGTAGAGTAATAAATTCCATTTGGACCTGCTAAGAAGCACTGACACGTGTATGGAGGTATGCACTTTTATCTTTACGGTAGTGTATAAATGTCTGTCTATCTTTGTGCAATGGGCTTTCTTTATAAATGCTTTTTCGGAGCTGTAAAGGTGCACTGGATTACAATATTTATACACGATAAAAGATTGTTTTATGCTGTAGAAGCAGTCACTTTCAGCTATTGCCGAGAACAATATCGAAAAATTGAAGGTCCTTTTAGTGTAAGTAAATCCATGAAAATAATTGTCCTTCAAATACATTCATACTAGACTATTTTAGCTGTGCTACTTGCGTTTCACTGCAATTATATTGCCGATTTGGTGCTCGGTTTGGCGAACCGCCTGATGACATTTCCTAGTCAGCCTGCTGCGTGTTGCTTGACAGTTATTTTACGTTCAACCAGAATGCAACTGAGTTGTGGATTATGTGCAATACGTTAGGAGTATGTTAAAGGCATATTGAAATTATACTTCTTCCAACTGTACAATTTCATTCTAATCCTTTTTTATTTTTTTTCTTCTCATTGGTAGAGAAAAGAAACAATTTAAACCTACGTCCCTATGAACTTAGGGACGGTATTACGCATCTGCTACAAGCAACTTGACCTTTAACTATTTTGTTTACAACTTTTGTTTTAAAACCTTGCAAGTAGAAATTTCATAAAGATAAATTTGTTATCATTATTTATTAATTTAGTTTGAAATAGAACTGCATATTTAAACAAATAGTCTGATAGAAAGAAAAATCTCTGAATCCATCGTGGAGATCTAGTACTCTTTACAGTTTGACACTTGTTGAAATAAATTGTTGATTTATCAGAATGTAATCAAAATCACATTATAATCAAAATATAATTAGTGCGATTATAATTCAAAAATTGTAATTTTAATTTCTATTAAATCAATTGTCAATTGTGTTACTAAATTCAAGGAAGAACGGTAATATCTTTCCAAAAGGTTAAGAAATCAAAATGGAGAGATAAATAAATCGCAGAGTTTCTTGAAACTGACCGCAATTTTCAAATGCTAAAATGAGTTTCAAAAGTTTTTAGATTTTCTGCTGTTTAGTGAAAAACGGAAGAACTTTTGCAGTAAAAAAGTCTGTAGGTACAAATGCGAATTCCATTCGCAGGGCAGTACTGCTCTTTGCAACTTTGAGATAAACGATGTGTTGTGGATTGCTGACATTACAATTATTTCCGATTTTATATTTTAGCAGTTGTCTTTCTCCGTGCTCTGTCCGTCTGTGTCTTCGCCCCGCTGCTACATTTATGACGGGAGTTAATTGAATTTAATTGCCCACTTAATGGTTCAATGATCTTGGCCAAGTACGGTGGCATATCACATGGTATCGCACAAATGAATAGTACTCATTGCACTAAGTTGAAGTCGGCATCCGTATCGGCGACCGTTCACGTTATACTTTACGTCGACTTTTTGCCATTCAAACTTCGCCAAGACTCACTTTTTCCGCTGAAAAGTTTTCGCATTCACTAAATTTTTTTTTGCACTTTTTGCGTTTGTGGCAGCAGGATATATGTGACACATACCACTAACTTGGCTGCACCTAATGACAGCAAAAATGTATGCCACTTCTAGCAACTTGTAATGGCTCAAGTTTTTCAATTGATGCTGCGATTAAGAAGCAATGAGTTCATATAAGTCATAAATGCGGTACTCGAAATGCCCGAGGCTCGGTTGGTTAGAAATATTGGAGAATAAGATGAAACCAACAAGCAGTTGAAGTATTTACACTTCATAAGTGTGGTATTTATCGTTTACGACCAGGTTGAAACCTACAACGATTGGATGTAAGAATCAGCAATTTTATTATAATTTGTTCACCATTTAAATATAACATAGATCGCAAGATAATCGTTGGAATCGAATTGCGTTTTTTAGTAGGAAATTTTTAA